ACCCACATTCTATCAATGTAAGAGACAGAAATATTTATCAATTAAGGACTTTTATCAATTAAGGATGTTTAATCCCCAAAAGCCATTTGGCCCTGCAAAGGTGGGTTTGCTCATAACAACCTTCAGTTTACATTTAAATCAACCCAAGAAGTGGTTTGGGTTTGATTTGGGGATGAACAGCTTTGAATTGCATTATTGTGGGGATAAATCACTTGGTAGGACAGGGGAGGGAACATTCCACTGAATTTTGGGAGAAATCAATGAGGTTTGGTCCTTCCTGACCCATAAAAGAGCAGAGCTGTGGGATGTTAGGCTGGAGGAAACAGACACAGCCTGGATTAGTCCTTGTGGGTTCTTTGTTTCTTTTTTTTCATTTTTATTGGGGTTGGGATTTAAGGTACTTGAGATGATAGTTTGTGTTCAGATTTGGGTATTCATTGTTTCTTATCAATGTTACAGTCTCACAGCTGTGAGTTTTGCAGTTTTTCATTAGTAAGGTACAAAATGGTTAATTATATCTTGTTATAAGGTCTTTTAAGGTTAAACTGTCTAATTAAGAAATTTTATTTAAATTAATTTCTCTTTTAACTTAATAACTGATTTCTTGAAGCCTGCAGTGTGGACTTTTCTGTTTAATTATAAAATACCACTCAAATCTATGAAGATGAAGGTAAAGAAGAACAATTTGTTTGCACTCTAAAACTTCTATTTTGTGGAGCTTCGTATTTATTTATATTTAATAACTTCATATCTATTCCTATATTTTAAAACCCTATTTTAAGTATTGTATTTTATGCTATTACACACTTCTAATTAACTACACCCTCATAATTCCAGTGTTATTAATCAGTTTTGGAAGCCTTCTTTACAGCCTCAGGTCAAATGCTGTGTTCTCTTGTGGATCTGTGCCTTTCACAGAATTTCAATTTAAAATTTAAAAAATTTAAATTTAAAATTGTCAGCATCCAGGGTTCCAGCAAGTCCTGAGCAATCCCTGCATGGGGTTGGAAGGAGCCACAGATTTGGAACGGAGATTTTGAAGGAAATCTCTGAGGGGAAACTCGGGAAATCCCTGAGGGGGGAAACTCGGGAAATCCCTGAGGGGGGAAACTCAGACACTTTGAAGGAAACTTTTAAAAAGTACCTTTATGGCCTCGATGGCATATTCCACCTGGAAGAGCCTCCCCTCTGGAGAGAAGGTGTTCACACCCCTGCAAGAAGAACACACAGTGAGAAGCTCAGGAAACCAAAATCTTGCTCAAGGGTGAGGCCACCTGGGCACAGGTGGGGCAGGGGACACAGGGACATTCCACAGCCCCAGGGTGGGGACCAGGGTGGTCATGGACTCAAGGAGAGCCAGCAGGTCAAGGCACAGGTGAGAACAGGTGGGGTGTCCTGGAACACTCTGGAATGCAAAGGGAGCACCAGGAGCCAGACAGGTCCCGTTTGAGCATGGGATCCTGGAATCCTTGAGAGTGGAAAAGCCCCTTGAGGTCATGGAGCCCAACTTTTCCCCCACCCCGCACTCCTGTCCCCAAGTGTCACCTCCACGTGGTTTTTGAGCCCTTCCAGGGATGAGGACTCCATCTCTCCTCAGGGCAGTCTGTGTGAGGGCTGGACAGCCCTTTCCATGAAAA